GAGTCAATTCCTCAGGAAGCGGTGGGGTAGAGCTTGACGACGGGACATCGCTGCGCGCTACCGGCGTCTTTCCCCTGCCCAGGCTTAGGCTAGACAGGTCCCCAGCCAGGGACTCTGTACCAACAGCCGGGCATGGGATGTCGGCGGAGTGCGGCGCGCAGCCCTGAGTTCGCGTGGCGTCAGAGTAGTCCCGCTCGCATCGTGCCTGGCGAGCGTGATGAGAGCGGCGGCCCGGGCGCCGCCTGCGCCCGTGCTGCCGATGCGCAACCTCGTCGCTGGCCGGTGGGGCTCTAGGTGTTAGGAGTACCATATCGTACTCACATCCTAGAGACATGAACTCTAGGCTCCCAAACCAGACCACCGTGCCGAGACGTAGTGGGCGTATGGGGTCAGCCATTCGGAACTTGTCGGGATGATCACACTAACACACAGAGTGCCCCTACCTGGCGCGCCAACTGTCGGTGTTTCGGACCGGGGGGGTCCTCAACCAACCAGTAAATGTGAACTGCGTGCCCCTAGTCCCAGATGGTGATGCAAAGAGACACAAGGTTTATACTGGTTCAGGCAATCGGTGCCCTACGTCCAGTCTAGGAGATCGATCTTGTATTCCTTGCACCGAAGTGCTTGTAGTAGGGGGTTACAAGCTGGATGAGAGAGGGAGCTAGTCCCAGGTCTCGGCGTGGAGTAGTGCGGGCTGCTTGAGTCGTTGCTCTCAGGCAGCGTGGGAGCGCGCGTGAATTGAGTGAGTGCGTTTTTGCGTGAGGGCTGGCGTGGTTTTTTCCGATCCCTAGAAACAGCCCTGGCTGCTTCCTTTTATAGCCACAAGGAGGGAGCCAGGAGTACATGAGAGAGCTACACGTGGAGTCTTAGCGAGAAAGGAAGATCCAGTACTGTGGCCTATTCCTGTAGCAACACAGTGTCGGGAATGGTAATTGGTACTTGATCACTGGTGTGTCACGCAGGCCATGCCCGAGGCTGTTGAAGTCGTAAGGGTCCTTGTTGACGTCTAGTCAGTATGGCCTCCACTTTAGGTGACATGCCGTGCCTGGTGGACTTTTGTCCTGGTGGAGTGCCGAGGCCTAGCGGGTGCTGGAGCTGATCGTGCCGAGGCCTTCTTTGCCGAGGCCTCGGAGGTGACCTGTGTACGACGCAGGGGTCTCGGTGGTCTGTGTCGTACCCGATTCCGGTGAAAAAAGTGTGGAATGGGCGTCCGCAGGGAGCCGTAGTCTCTGCACCGTCAATAGGGGATGGTAAAAAGGTGATTTGACCGCCGTCCCATCGCCCTTTTTGCATACCCTGCCAATCGTGGCTGACGTAGGCATAACTAGGGATACTTACACGGATGGGACGGCCCGCCAGAGGGGCAATTGAGGCGGAGGCGACGAGAATGCGGGACGAGCCCGGCCTCGGCCGAGGTGGAGAAGGAATGGCGCGTTCGAGGCCTTGCCGGGGGGTCTCGGACGAGGTAGAGACCGAGCAGCTGGGCTCTCCTGCTGTTTCCGAGGCTACAGGGACATGGACTCGACCTTCCATGCCGCTTTGTCCTTGGCGAAGGGGTTAGGTAGCACAGGGCAGTATAAGTGTCAGGAGGGAGCACAGTGGTGATTGTAGTGGCAGGTAACCCCTGCTGTGCCCAGTTCCTGTCCTGTCAGTTGTTCTGCCCACACTGTACCTGCGTGCGGCTGACGTTTGTGGGAGTGGTTGGGTGCATTTAATCCGGACGTGACGTTTTGCCAGAGGAGTTCAGTCGGGACGAAGGTTACGAGTACGTTCGCCGAGCTCGGCCTCGAGCGAATCGAAGAATTGGAGATCCGTCCGAGGCCTTTCGGGGAGAGGCTTTGGCGAGAGGGTCTCGGCGAGAGGGCCTCGGCGGGACGTTTTAGGCCTGTTTCGCATGAGGCCTCGACGCAAGGCCTCGGGCGAATCGGAGAATTCTGCCGAGACCTTGCAGTAGTCTTTTGGCTTTGGTTTTAGCAAGGCTTAAGCAATATTCTTGGATCTTGCTTAGGGTACCCCTTCTTGTGGTATCCGACACTTCTACTTGTAGGTGTTTGTGCAAACTCTTCTTCTTCATCATCTTCTGTCCTTGCATCTTGCCCCTCATTGTCACCATAATCATCACCAGGCACAAAGGCTGTGGTGCCATCCACAGTGTACCCTCTAAACAGTTCATCAAGCAAGTTCTCGTTTGTTGGAGGACTCGTCGGCAGCTTCTTTAAGTATGGTTTTTTCTGTTAAGATATGAGAGCACAAAAGTTGATTAGAAACTAGTTATGACAGGAGAATATCAGCTGTTTACAATAAAGATGTATAATCAGGCACCACAACATAGCACAAGCATCATTTTTTTCACACGCACTAGCTGTTGCTACAGTTCACACTCACTAATGTACAGCCAAATAAAATAGAAGACAGTCCAAACGAAAGGATAACAGCATGTACAGCCAAGTAAAACAGAAGACAGTGATAAGTTCCTATGTGCAACGACTTGCATTGATCAAATTTGAAGCAAGCATAGAGTAACCAAGCATACTAGTTAATACTAGTTAAGATATGAGAGCACAAAAATATGCTAAGGAATATTGTACCGTTGTGTGAGTTAGCCAGAAATCATGATCTGCATCAATGGATCCATCTGGTCTCCTCCCCAACCCTATGTGCGTTTGCAAGTAGCACCAGAAAGCGTGTGTGTTTTTGAGTACGCCTATTTGGTTCTTCACTTGTCCACGGGTGTACACCAACCTTCTTCTGGCAAGTAAGCCATCGACAACGGCTTGGTACCCTTCACCACTCATTTGTGAACCATTATACGTTCCTGCTCTACGTTGCTCTATGCGCAATTCTAACAAGCAAGCATTATTTGCATCATTCCATTGGGCTCGACTGGCATGGCTCACCGGGGGACCGCCGGAGCTCGCTAACTCCTCCACGTTATCCTCCATTGCTTCATCGTCAATGTCGAAGGTAGCGTCGGAGCCGGATGCTTGCCCACAGACACCACTCCTCGGTGCCCTCGGTGCTCGGGGAAGCGGTACGCCCTGGCCACCACTGCCACGGGAAGCCGTGTTGGTGCGCTGGGACGCCGGCCGGCTGCTGCGGCGGCCGAGTTCGCGCGCTGCCGAACACCACCACCTGCCCTCGACGACGACCTGCCGGTGTAGCCGCCACCGTTTCCTCCTCCGCGACCGGCTGCCGCCGAGGAGGAGCCGCCAAAGAGCAGTTGTCGGGCATGATGGGGCGCCGGAGTCGCCCACGCGTCTCCTGCTCCGGCACGCGGTGGGCGATAGGGAGGGAGGCCGGAGCCCCTGCCGCGTCCAGGAAGGAGCTCGACGTCATCGCCCTGGAGGAAGTCTCCATACAGCCGAAGCCCCGGGAACCCCTCCGCGAGTTGAGGTCGAGACCGGCGCGGGCAGGGCCGCTCGCCGACGGCTGCGAGGTCCACAAGTCGTCGAATCCGTCTCCGTCCATGGCGAACTTCTCTAGATCAGAGCACAGCAGAGCAGGGCCGATCTGGAGGTACGGAGACGTGGCTCACTCTCACCTGCGCAGCAAGTGGCCCGGTGGAGGCGACCTGTTGTGGCCGGAGCTTACGGTGGCGGTGGCCTTGGAGACGGAGGGGAAGGGCGCGGCGGGAGGGAGGGAGGCGGCGTGGGCGACCGAGATCCACCTTCGGGGGGCCACCGGCGCTGCTCCTTTGGCGGATTGAAGCGGCGGCGGCGCGATTGGGACCCGCGGCGGCGCGAGTCGCGATGGGGGGATGGGAGTCGTGAGGATCCGGTGCGGGTGGAGTAATAAAAAAATAAGAGTTTCCAGTGGGCTCCACTAGAACTAGACTAAATAATCACCTCTTTTGGGGGATAGTTTTTTGGGTGGGCTAGTTGCAAATAACCCACTCTAACTCTCCTGTTTAGATACTTTTGGGCTAGTTGAGCTTAAACTGGCACAAACTAGCTCTAGCCTCTGTATCCAAAGAGGGCCAATATCCCGTTCCTATTCCCCTTCTGAGGCGACACCTAGCAACCACGGAGGGATCGGGCATGCCCTCTTCGCCCGCGGTGCCACTCACCTTCGGTGCCTCCATCCGTCGCCTCCGCCGCAGCCTGATCCAGTCCTTATCCGGTGCCGACCCAGTGCCAGACACCATCGACGCCTCCCAGACGACAACCCCGCCGCAGACATCCTCTCCCTCGCCTGGACGCGGCGCCTCCTCGATGCCTTCCTCTGCCTCGAGGAGTTCCGCGCCCTGCTTGTCGGCTCCGGGAAGGGGGAGTCGCCCACCGCGCGGTCCCCACTCGACCGCCTCGTCGCTTACTTCTTCGACCGCGCCGTCAAGGCGCTCGATCTCTGCAACGCCGTCCGTGACGGCCTCGACCTCGTCCAGCAGTGGCGTAAGCGCCTCTCCAACACCGCAGCCGTCCTCACCTCGCACCTCGACCATGCCACGCTGCTTGTCGTCGGCCGCATCCGCCGCACGCGCAAGGCGCTTACTGACCTCACCGTCCTCACGCTCGACGATAGGCACGGCGGAGGAGGTGTCGTCGGCCAGCTCAACCGCTCCTACCGCCGCGCCAACAAGGACTCCCGTGGTCATAGACACGGCGGGGGCCTCCACCTCTGGAGCAGCTCCGAATCCAGTTCCGGCTCTCATAGCTCGTCCTGGAGCGTGTCCCAGCCGTGGTCCGCCGCGAGCCAGCTGCAGGCGATCGGGGGAGGCCTGCCGGTGCCCCTCCCGCACGACGACGCTGCCACGGGAGGCCTTGCTTCAGCGGTCTACACGATGGGCGCCGTGCTCTTTATCGTGTCCTTTGCGCTCGTGGCTGCCATCCCGTGCCAGGACCGCGGCCTCCAGGCATTTCTCGGTGCCCAGCAACTTCCTCATCTCTGGACCCGTCACCACGCTCTACGACCGAATCGTCGAGGAGTCCAAGAAGAAGGAGCGCAGGAACTCATGTGGCCTGCTCAAGGAGATACAGCAAATTGAGCTTTGCTCCAGGCACTTCATGGAGAGCACTGATGCCGCAGAGTTCCCATTGTCCGGGGAGAAGGCATCTGAGGTGATGGTGGCTGCACTGGACCTAGTGCAGTTGTGTGAATACATCAAGGACGAGCTCGGTCCACTTCAGGGTCGGATCAGGGAAATGTTCCACCGGATTGTGCACACTCGCACTGAAATCCTTGACGGCTTGAACTTGAAGAACAGACTGCAGGTTACTGATACAGTTCATCGACCCATTGGCATGGAAACTTTGGTTAACAGGGGCATGTCTACCGGGGGGAATAGCCCTGTGACTGTGACCAAGTTGTTGGATCAGGGGCATTCCATGGATATTTCTGCAGCACCGTCCCAGCAGCAGCGACTCATGACATCGGCGCCTGGGCAGGCAGCTCCCCAGGCCAGGCAGCTCCCCAGGCCGTCGATTTTGAGCGCCTGGCGGACGGATCGAGCTGCCTGGGCGAGCATCCCCAGGCCACGCCGTGATCCAAACAGGCTGCCTGAACGAGGCCCCCAGGCGAGGGTTCCAACCAAACACCCCCTCAGTGTAGCCGAGGGACCTCAGGATAGTAGCACTGAGGTAAGTAGTCTATTACTACCAGTATTGGTTAATTCAAAGACAGTTATTTTAAGTGGTTCCAGGCTGCAGATAAGCTCCATGAGTCCTTTGAGCTCCACTTTCCCTTGGATGTTGGAACCAAAGCGTTCTTAACATAACAGAGAGCCTGACAATGGCAGTCCATTTTTTTTTTTCGAGAACGTGTCCATTAACCGTTATCACTACATTGGCACATAGATCATGCTGTTCTACCTAGAGGCATGACCCAACCTTTTGTTTTCTAGCGTTTTGGATTGGCATTGATAGTATCTGAATCGGTTTGTGCCTCAAAACCGTTTTACAGTTCACTACCTCCGTGACTAGTACATATTTGCATCATGGGGTAGTCTCGCGAATCATCCATTTCAAATTGATATAAATGAAAATATGCGATGCCTTATTAATGCAAATATGAAGTATGTTTTATGTCCAAAGTTGGAGATGTCCTGAATAAAGTTTAATGGACACAAACTCAACAGCTGATGTAATCGATGAAAACCACCGAACTTTAATTTTCAGAAAGTTCTGAGATTTTGCTGTATAGTTAATGTAGCCGAATTTTCTGAATAATAAAACCTGTTGCTATTGCAATAAGCAAAGTCAATTTTGTGCATTAGGTTGTGTCATTGCTTATAGATAAAGAAAAACGCTTATAATAGTTTTCATTTGTCTAAGGCACAAGAGAGCTATACTACACGGAGGGGAGTACTAAAATCTATTTAAATTGTCTGCATTTTCCAATCAGCTTAGGCCTTTGGGTATAACTGGTTTGTGCATGAAGCTCAAATTATTTTGCAAGTTGCATAATTTTCAATTTATATATATTCCTCCACTACCTTTACAGAGCCAGGCTCATTAGTGACATTCTTGCCTTCCCCTCTGCATGGGTTTGCCTCTGCTGTGCATATGCAAAGAGGATATAATTATTAAGTGGAATCTACTATGCTTTTTAGGGGATGTCGGATGCTTCTCAGGGCACGCTGGAGGCACCGGTGAGTTCGTCCCTAGGTGCAATGGGCTCCCTTCTCAAGAAGCTCAGTTTACTGCTGGCTCCCAATTACCCACTACGGAGGTCACTGAAGCACGCAATCAAGCTTCTTGAGGAAGATCTCGAAGAAATAAGGGATGCCCTCATGGAGCAGTCGATGGTAGATTACAACAAAAATAAGGTGAAATACTGGATGGAAGAGGTGCGTGAGCTCTTGTATGACATTGAGGACAGCATTGACATCATGATGTTGTTACGACGGGATTTACTTTGAAGGAAGTACGGAGGAGATCGAGGAACGCGAGAGCGAGCTAGGGCTTAGCGGGCAGGAGCCGTGGTGGCGGCGGCAAGAAGTGACGATGAACAGTAACATGGTTGGGCACCCAAGGGAGACAGTAAGTCTCAATCCCAGGTTACCTCTTCTATTATAATTCTTTAATATTTATACAAGGAGATCTCAACCGACTCAAACCTAATTCAATCCAATAACCAACTCTAATAGATAACCGTCCTAGATTTTAGGACCTGAGAACCAACAGGCCGGCTAAGCCGGACTCCTAGCCAACCAGCCGGCTAAGCCGGACTCCTATCCCGGCGTCTACGCCTATAGACCTTACCGGTCATAACATCTCTCCCCTCCTCAGGAAACAGCTCGTCCTCGAGCTGAAACAAAGGGTGAGCTTCCTGAAATGCAGGAACTGGCTCCCACGTTGCCTCGGACGCAGGCATGCCGGACCACTCGACGAGGACATGCCAGACGCCACGACGAAGTTCAGAGCGCAGGATGCGTTCCGGTCGCTGGAGAGGCCGGCCGTGGCGAAGTGGAGGTAGCACAGGCTCAATCGTCGGCGGTGTACCACGGAACGGCTTTAACACCCCGACATGGAAGACATCATGAATCTGGGCTCCCTCCGGAAGACGAAGCCGGTAGGCCACCTCGCCCACCCGCTCAATCACCTGGAAAGGGCCAGCATACTTGGGCCCCAACTTGCCGCGACCGCCAGGAACTAGGGACTGCGTGTGTCGATGAAGCATGCGGAGCAGTACCCAGTCCCCGACGGCAAACTCCAATGCACGGTGCTTGGCGTCATAGAAGCGTTGAGCGTGCTCCTGCGCCTGGAGGAGGCGAGCGCGTACCTCGTCCAAGAACTCATCCCGGTTGGCCAACATGGTGTCGACGGCCTCCGTGCGCGCCTCCCCTAGAACATATGGCAGTAGGTCGCGCGGAGGACAGCCATAGACCACCTGAAACGGAGTGGTCTGCAGCGCCGTGTGATATGCGGTGTTGTAACAGAATTCCGCCCACGGCAACCAGTCCAGCCAGTCGCGAGGGCGGTCACCCGTGAGACATCTCAAGTACATGGCTATGGCCTTGTTCACCGCTTCGGATTGCCCGTCCGTCTGTGGGTGGAACACCGTGCTCATCCGAAGTTGGACGCCGGCATGACGAAACAGATCACGCCACACATGCCCCGTGAACACCGGGTCACGATCGCTGACGATGGACTCGGGAAATCCATGGAGGCTCACGATGTCCTGGAACAAGGCTCGCGCCACTGATGACGCCGTGTAGGGGTGGCCCAAGGGAATGAAGTGTGCATACTTCGAAAACCTGTCAACCACCGTTAGGAGAACACTTTTACCGTGGACCTTGGGCAGCGCCTCAATGAAGTCGAGGGAGATATGTGCCCAAACTCGCGAAGGCACCGGTAATGGTTGTAGCAGTCCCACGGGGTGCAATGTCTCTATTTTGTTCCGCTGGCACGTGGAGCAGGAACACACGAAGTCGCCGACAACGCGCCGATCATGCTCGACGTAGAACTGGGTACGAAGCCGCCGCAGAGTCTTTTGGATGCCCTCATGGGCTCCTGTGTGAGCGAGCTGTAGGACGTCGTCCAGGAGCGGTGACGTTGCCGGCAGGAAGACGCGGCCATCGTGGAGTATGAGGCCCTCCCAGACGATCCAGGAGGCCCCGTGCGCACCGGCGGCCACGGCGTCGCGGCGTGCACGCAGCGTGGCATCGGTGTCCAGCTCCTGGCGGAGGTCATCAAAGAGCCGGAACATCGGAGTCGAGAGCGCCACGAGGGATGCCGCATCAGCGTCTTCGAGACCCACCAAGAGCGGGGTGTCGCCGTCGCGGCAGGACAGCGCATCGGCCACCACGTTCGCCTTGCCGGGGCGGAACTCAACCCTGAAATCATATCCAAACAATTTGCTCACCCATTGATGCTGTGGAATTATCGAAAGCCGCTGGTCGAGCATGAACTTGAGGGCGTTGTGATCAGTCCGGACGACAAAGGCGCGACCCCAAAGATACGGGCACCAATGGCGGACTACTTGAACAAGACCGATGAGCTCGCGCTCGTACGCAGCCGCTTTGAGGTGGCGAGCCGCAAAGGGCCGACTGAAGAACGCCACGGGATTCCTGTCTTGATGAAGGACGGCTCCGAAGCCGGAGCCGGACGCGTCGCAGTCGACGACGAACGTGGCGTTGAAGTCTAGAAGATGGAGTACTGGCGCTGCACACAACGCGGCCTTGAGGGTCGTAAATGCCGCGTCCACTGTCTCTGACCACCTGAACCCCTCTTTGCGCAAGAGCTGCGTCAGTGGGGCGGCAATGGCGCCGTAGTCTTTGATGAACCGGCGGTAGTCGCTGGCTAGCCCAAGGAAACCACGAAGTCCTCGCGCTAAACGCGGTTGCGGCCACGACTGGACAGCTGCCACCTTGGTCGTGTCCATGGCCACCCCCTCAGTCGTGATGACATGGCCAAGGTAGTTGACCGAGGAGGTAACGAAAGAGCATTTGGACCATTTGAGATGCAGCCGATGCTCGCGGAGGACGTCTAGGACGGCGCGGAGATGCTGCAGGTGCTCGGTCCACGTGGAGCTATAGACGAGAATGTCGTCGAAGAAGACAAGGACGTTGCGTCGCAGGAACGGCTTGAGGACGAGGTTCATGAGCGCCTAGAACGTCGAAGGCGCGTTGGACAAGCCGAAAGGCATGACCAAGAACTCGAAGTGGTCGTGGTGTGTCCGGAATGCCGTCTTTTCCACATCAGCGGGGTCGACGCGGACCTGGTGATAACCTGAACGGAGGTCCAACTTGGTGAAGAATTTGGCGCCATGGAGCTCGTCTAGAAGCTCTTCGACGGCCGGGATCAGGAATTTGTCTTTCACCGTCACGGCGTTGAGTGATCTGTAGTCGACACAGAAGCGCCAAGTTCTATCCTGCTTCTTAACGAGCAGTACCGGCGCGGAGAAGGGGGACGTGCTGTCTCGTATGACCCCCTGCTGGAGCATTGCCTCGCACTGCCTCTCCAGTTCATCCTTCTGGAGGTAGGGATATCTGTAGGGGCGAACGACGACAGGTTCGGCGCCGGGCTTCAAGTGTATCCGATGATCACAGGGACGCATGGGTGGGAGCCCTGTGGGCTCCGTGAACATGTCGACGTAGGTGTCGAGGAGACGTTCCAGGAGGAGTGGCTCCGCCCCCTTGTCAGTGAGGATGTGGCCGGAGAGTAGCTGCTCGGCGTGGCCCATACTTGGCGATCCAATGCCCGTCCATAGTATGCGGCGGCTACGGAGGACGAACGCCATGCGAAGACCCTCAAAGTCCCACAAGATCGGCCCCAGGGTCCGCAGCCAGGCGATCCCCAGGACCATGTCGTAGCACTCCAGCGGGATGGAGAAGCAGTCCACTGGGAAAACCTCTCCGCCGATCTCGAGCTTGGTGTTGCGGGCGAGACCACAGCACGCGACTTGGTCCCCGTTCGCCACAACCACGTGTGCACCATGGATGTCCTAAAACTGCAGTTCCGCACGCCGAGCTGCCTCTGTGCTGATGAAGTTGTGAGTTGAACCGGAGTCCAGGAGCGCGGTGAACTGGTGCGCACCAATGTGGATGTGGAGCTGCATGGTCTTTTTCGGCTCGGATGCCCGTGATGGCGGACAGAAAGATCATAGGCTCGTCGGGGTCGAATGGCGGCGCAGCCGGGGCGACCTCCGTTTCATCCGGCTCCTCCACGATGTAATCTGAGGCCTCGAGGAAGAAGAGCCGGGCACACTTGTGCCCCCTTATGTATTGTTCATCGCAATTGTAGCATAGGCCCATCTTGCGCCGATCCGCCATCTCCTCTGGTGTGAGGCGCTTGAACGTGCGTGGCGCTGATGACGAAGAGGTGGCGCTGGATGGTGCCGGTGCAGGCAGCGCGGCTGGTGTGCCAACAGGGCGGCGCTCCAAGCGCGGTGTCGGCAAGGCAGGAGCCTGCGAGGCGTTGCGGTGCTCATAAGCGTGCGCAAGCCGCATGGCATGCTGCAGGTCCAGTGGCTTGAGGAGCTCGACGTCGATGCGGATGTGTTCCGGCAGCCCGCCGGTGAACAGCCGCGCTTTCTGCAGTGTAGACAGGTCGCCGGTGTGAGCGGCACGGGCTTGAAACTCCGCCATGTACGCGTCCACCGATCCTCCGAACGGCAGCCGCGCCAAGTCGGCGAGGTGGTTGGTGCTGAGGGCCGGCCCGAAGCGCTGCTGACACATGCAACGGAAGTCCGGCCACGCGGGGCGGCCTATGTCGCCTTCCAAGATGAGGTACCACTGTTGAGCCACGCCCGTGAGGTGATACGATGCGAGCCAGACCTTGTCTACCTCCCGTGTCATCTGTTCGCGGAAAAACTGCTCGCACTTGTTGAGCCAGCCGAGCGGGTCTTCTTTGCCGTCGTAGGTGGTGAACGTCAGTTTGTGGTACTTTGGCACAGCCACGCCCTCCACTTCTGGCGGTAAGGGGATCTGTGGCGGCATCGAGGACATGTGTGACGTCGGCGCCGAGACGTAGGGCAGTCCTGTAGATGAGAACACAGGCAGCGGGGACAGTGAGTGCGGGAACTTGATCTGGGTGATTGGTACTCCTGTCGACGGTGGTGGAGCAAGCGGCCTCGAGCCGTGCGCCGCTGAAGATGACCCTGGCACAAACGGCTGTGGCGCCACGGCTGATTCCGCGGACGCCGCAGCGACCTCGAAGATCACCGGAGCGGAGGCCGCGGGTAGGGCTGGAACCCCACCGAACCCCGACACGCCGAATTGTGGGAACGCTGGCAGACCTTCGATCGCCGACAGCCGAGCACCCTGGTCCGCCAGGTGGTGGTTGACGGCTGTCATCTGGAGTTGGAGGCCCGCAACTGCTTGTGTTAGCGCCTGGAGCGCCTCCACAGTCGACATGGGTTGGGATGCGGCCGGCACAGTGGCCATAAGGGTGCCCGATGTGGCCACCAGCGGCATCAACCCGGCGGATTGTGGCCCGGCGGCGGCGGGCACACCGGGCGTGGGAACAACGGAGGAAGGAGGGACCGTCGCCGACGAGTCCCCGGATGTCACCATGGTCTCTGATACCAGGTTGTTATGACGGGCTTTACTTCGAAGGAAGTACGGAGGAGATCGAGGAACGCGAGAGCGAGCTAGGGCTTGGCGGGCAGGAGCCGTGGTGGCGGCGGCAAGAAGTGACGATGAACAGTAACATGGCTGGGCACCCAAGGGAGACAGTAAGTCTCAATCCCAGGTTACATCTTCTATTATAATTCTTTAATATTTATACAAGGAGATCTCAACCGACTCAAACCTAATTCAATCCAATAACCAACTCTAATAGATAACCGTCCTAGATTCTAGGACCTGAGAACCAACAGGCCGGCTAAGCCGGACTCCTAGCCAACCAGCCGGCTAAGCCGGACTCCTATCCCGGCGTCTACGCCTATAGACCTTACCGGTCATAACAGATGTTCTCACACACTACTGCCTATGCTACGTCTAGATCCATCCATGGCCATAGCCATAGGGTTTTTTCTCGGACACGCAGGAGAGCTGCGGATCTCTATATTAAGAATAAAAGCCATAGGAAAAGGGTTGCACGTCTTAGGATTCATCGGCTTCCCAATATACTCAAGCTGTCAACGAGGGTCACAAAAGTTTTAGAGCTCAGGACTCTGCTGTGGGAGGCGAGCGAACGGCACGAAAGGTACCAGCTTGATGGTTGTATCTAGAATCCAACGTTTCTGTCCTACATACGTAGTAGTCGGATCCCTGTTTCTTATAAAGTTGTTAACAACCTAATTGGTATCGACGATCCAAAGAAAGAACTTACCATGTGGCTCAACAACCAATCGGAACAACAGATAAAAGTATTGTGTATTGTTGGGCCCCTAGGGGTTGGTAAAACAACCCTTGCTAAAGAACTGTATCGTGAACTTAGTGGGCAGTTTGAGTGCTGGGCTTTCATACGGGTGTCACGGAATCCTGACATAGGTAGGCTTCTTCAGGAACTATTCTCTCAAATCTAGCAGCCTAAACAAAGTTCTGATGTCTGCTCACTTCAAGGCATCATTGACAAGATTAGTAACCACCTCCAAGATAAGAGGTAATTCTTTGTCTGCTCATGTAACTTATTAGGTAGATACTTGCTTTTAATATATTATAGACCTTATCTTTAGTTGTAGAATATTAAAAGAACTTGTTACCACCAAAGTTTTTTTTTGGTGACACTAAAATGTTTATTTGTATGATGGGCGAAATTTTTTCTTTGTAGGATATTCGAAGTTAATGTTTTATGCTATAAATTTGTTAAAGTGCGCATATAAGTTGCTTATACTACTTAAAGTGAGCCTTGCATCCTTCTAAGTTAGTTCATGATTATTACAAGTCAAATCTCTTTACTTGCAGGTCAGATCATTTGTATCGTATAATCACAATGTTTTACAGCACTTGTAGGTCATGTGCACATATTTGCAACTTCATTTATATAGTTACAACTTACAAGCACTTAAATTACACCTATACAACAGATTCTTATTAGCCATTGCCCAAAAAAATTACAGAATTTTCCCAAAACCAAAGCTTGAGTGAGGCAAGGAGTGGGTTTTTTGTGTAGGAATAAAATCCATAGATTGGTCATGGAATAAAAAAAAGAGAGGGTACGCATGAGCAAAGAAGGTCTTTCATTAAGCTAATAGGGATTACTTACTTTTAACACATAGGAACTTATTCTTCCATATGTTTTCTGTAACTTAAAAACAATAAGTTGAAAAGAACCCATTTTCTTGGATTACTTACTTTTAGTTGATAGGAATTTTTCAGCTCTACTCATTCATTCATTACTAATCAGTAGTGCTTATTATGCCATAAATTTGTAAAGCTTACATATTTGAATATTCCCTAAAATGCATGCTTTTTGTACAATATTATATCTGCTAGAGAGTACGGTGTTTGATACATCATATAGCATGAACAACTTTCATGATCTTAGTATACTTTGGAAAGTTGGAGAGAATTTTATTATATTTAATACTTGCAACGAACAGGAATAAAAATAATTAAGTTATATATGACATATTTTGTTATTTATTTTCCTTGCAATTTATGTTGGAAGTGTTTATAAAGGCTATACGTTTTTGCCTAAGCAATTATATAATTATTCCATATTATAATTATTCTGCAGGTATTTTATCGTAATTGATGATTTGTGCGAAGCGGAAGCATGAGATCTCATGAAAAATGCTTTTCCGAAAAGCAATAAATGCAGCAGAATAATAGTAACGGGTGAAGTACAAAATGTAGGCGCTGAATGCTCTGGTTATCATGCTGTTGATATTTTTGAGCTGAAGCCTCTTGGCAGTCAAGATTCTGAAAATTTGTTTTTAGGTAGAGCTTTCAGGTCTGAAGATCAATGTCCTGATTCTGTAGAATGTGGTGGTTTGCCATTAGCAATCATCACTTTAGCTGGTCTTTTTGCAAGCCTGCGAAATAACTCAGATATATGGCACCAGCTACAGCGATATGTTGTCTCCAGTTTGACAAATCTGTCTTTGGAGTACATGCTAAAAGAAATAGTAAACCTTTGTTATGATAATCTTCCTCAATATTTAAAGACATGTTTGCTATATCTTACCATTTATCCAGAGGGATGCACGATGTGGAAGGTTGATTTGCTAAAGCAGTGGACAGCTGAAGGTTTCATTACTTCAACAAAAGGAAATGAGGGAGTTGCAGAGAGTTATTTTGTTGAGCTTGTCAAAAGGGGAATGATCCAACCTGAGAAGATTACTCACAATAATGAGGTGCTATCTTGTACAGTACACCATATGGTACTTGATCTTATTATGAACAAGTCTAGAGAAGAGAATTTTATCACAGTAGTAGATTACTCTCAAACCAATGCATTGTTTTTTATGAAGCCCCGTCGATTGTCCCTACACTTCAGCTGTTCTCAGTATGCAACCAAACCAAAGGATATAAGACTGTCACAAGTTCGATCACTTGCCTTTTTTGGACTCCCTAAGTGCATGCCTTCTGTCACGGAATTTAAGGTTCTACGGGTTTTAATTATTGAATTTTGGGGCAACAAGGATGATTTCAGCAGTCTCGACCTATCAAGAATTTGCAGATTAGTTCTGTTGGGATATTTGAAGATTTCAGGTCACATCTTTGTGGATTTTCCATCCAAGATCCTGGGATTAAAATTATTGGAAACACTGGAAATATTTGCAACAGTTTCTACCACTCTTAATCGAAAAGCAATGGAAATAGATGCAAAAGAGTCTGCTCTTCCAAATGATATAGTTCATCTCCCAGGGTTGTTGCATTTGAGCCTTCAAGAGGGGATAAAACTACCTGATCGAATTGGCCTTCTTACATCTCTGCAAACACTAAAGTATTACGATCTTGGAAATAACTCTGAAGACTGTATACAGAGCCTTGGTGAGCTGAAAAACCTGAGAGATCTTCACCTCACCTGTTCGACAACACTGTCTCATGAGCATCTGAAGAGAAACCTCGTAGCTCTGGCATCTTCACTTGGGAGAGTTACCAACTTGGAATCTCTCACACTGGCTCATGGTGCTGTGGGCATGACAATGTTCGTGGAGCACTCAAGTGCCATGTTCTCCGCTTCCAAGTTTCTTCAGAGACTCGAGGTTTTGCAGTCTACTTGTATCTTTTCCAGCCTTCCTGAGTGGATTAGGAAACTCTGCAGACTCATCATTTTAAAAATTGTGGTAAGAGTACTGATAAGGAGTGATATTGATATCTTTTACATATGAAACCTGCGCCCAAACCGCGGCCAGCCAGCGTGCCACGTCACGGGCTTTTCGCGGCCGTTCGATCGGGCGCGCGGACGGCCCAGATCGGGCGATCTGCGGTCATTTTACGAAAAACCCCTTCTATTTTTCGGAAATCAACCCGCACTCCAGAGGCCCTCTCAGAATATTTTGCAAAAAATATCTCAGATTATTTCCAAATCAATCCGCAGTCCAGAACAGATGGGCTCCGGTTTTTTTGCAAAAAAGACCTTCACTTTATCGAAAATCAACCCGCGCTGTAGAGACACTCTCAGCAATTTTTGCGAAAACCTCCTCAGATTTTTCTCAAATCAAAATACAGGCCACCTTTGATTATATCTCTTTTTTTTCAAAAAATAAATTAGCTGAAACTTTAAAATTGCATAGTAAATCATAGAAAAATTGTAAATTAGAAAATCAAGTTGATCTAAAATCCTAACTGAGTAGAACTATGCAGAGCATCCATAATATCACATGTTTTAGTAAGGATTTTTTTATATAAACTTTTACCTATGCTTTCAAGGGACAAATAAAATTATACCTTCATGATGATAAAGTCTTGAAAATACATAAAAATCATAAAATGAACAAAAAAATTGCTGAGTTTCTTATCACTACACCTATATTCTTATTGCCACTGGCCTAATCGAGAGGGAAGGCGCAGCAAAGCCACGCCCACGTTTCTAGTCCTCACTAGATTGCCTGGTCTCACTGTTCTCTCACTTTATGTTCGTCAACCCAGTATAGAAAGAGTCGTATTCAATAATGGGCCATTGCTAGTTCTCAAGTATTTCAAATACAGTTGTAGTGCTCTTTGCATAGACTTTCAGGAAGCGGCACTGCCCAATCTTCATAGATTGAAGCTTTGTTTCAATGTCCACAGAGGTGAGATATATTCCCATACAATTTGTAGCATCAAGCACTTATCAAACCTCAAGGGGATTGCTTTGAGGATTGGGGCAGCAGCTGACGTTGAGGAATCCGACAGAAGAGCTGCTGAATCAGCATTTGTTAGTTCCATACACAGACATCCAAGGTTTCCAATTGACATGAATATAAGAAGGGTAGATTGTGTAGATGAGTAAAGTCCAGTACGATCGTGTGTGGTTTGGGTTTTTTGTGTTGGCCGCTGCTTGTTTATGTACTGATTTCAGATGTCGGAAATGCTTTGAAGCACTGTTTTCACTACTGCAAACTCGAATACTTCTGTGAGTGATGGATTTTTCTGTGTGTTTTTTCGGTACGCACAGAAAAATGCCAATCATTCTGTGGGTTTCAAAATATCCCGACAGAAAAATACGAAAACCCACAGAATAATTGCGTGACAACACACACCAAAAAAAATATACACTCACAGAAAAATGTCAATTTTTCTGTCGGTTTTTATAGAACTCACAAAAAAAATACTATGCACGTACATGAAAATTTCTATTATTCTGTGGGTTTCTATAAAAAGAACAGAAAAAAGTAAACACACACAGAAAAATAGAACAAACGCCCTCATACTAACTTTATATGAACAAGTGTAGTTTTTCTTTTTAATCTTTCTCTAAAACTTGTAACTAGTCTTTTGCCCTCATACTAACTTCAAATTTGATGATTTTTTCCTAAAATTTTCTAAAATCATGCTCTATCAATTTATTGTGTTCTTACGGCTATTATTTTGATCATCTTTTCATGTGACTTTGTTTTATCAATTCAAAATTTGAATTTCCAAAAATGATAACTTCAAACAATATTTTAAAATAGTAAATGATTTCAGCTGAAAAAGTTATGAATATAAAAGTTGTTGAACTCATCATGATCTACAACTTTTATTTTTGTCATTGCTTCATTCGATAAAGTTTCAATAACATTGTTCACAAAATTGACATATCTCTCATATAGTTTCATAAACTATGTGAGAGATCTATGGATTTGTGAAAAATGTATACTACTACTTTGTCGGATGAAGAAATGACCAAAATAAAAGTTGTAGACCTTGATGAGTTATACAACTTTGTTGGTGATGACCTTTTCAGCTGGAATCATTTGCTATTTCAAAAAATTGTTTGAAGTTGTCATTTTCTGAAATTTAAATTTTGAATTATCTAAAAAAATTCGGATGAAGAAATGGTCAAAATAAAAGTTGTAGATCTCGATAAGTTGTACAAATTTGTTGTTACTGGATTTTTCATTTGAAATCATTTAGTGTCCCATAATTAATTTTGAAGTTCTCATATTTTGAATTTCAAATTTTGAGTTATTCAAACAAAGTCAGATGGAGAAATGACCAAAACAAAAATCGTAGATCCCAACGAATTGTACAACTTTTCTGTTGATGACTTGTTCAATTGAAATAATTTACAGTTGCAAAATTATTTTCAAAGTTTATTGTATAAATTAAAAAGAAAAAAACTCTGTTGAACCCAAATGCCCAAGGCCCAAGGCCCAGCAACCTCATCTCCATCTCCACCGTTGGATGGATCAAATCGACGGTGGAGATGAAACCTGGTTGAAACCCTAGAGAAGCTGAAAAGTTCCCTCCTCCTCTTCTCAAATGCGGCCACCCTCCCATCCTTTTCCTCTGCCGTCGTCCAGATCTGCCTCGCTGCTGCCGCTGCCTCGGCCGGCCCTGCCCCAGCCCCGTGTCGCAAGCGCTGTGCGCGGCCGTCTACTACCGCGGCCTCGCCCCTAGCCGAGGGCGCGCAGGCAGGGCAGCGACGCCGCTGTCGGCTGGCAGGAAGACGACCTGTCTGGCTCGCCCTGCGTCAGGACGTCTAAGCTCTCACGCATGTGCGCGCCCGTGCGCCACCGCGGCTAGCTCCTCTCGCGGCCAGGCCAGTCAGGGTATGGGCGCACCGCAGCTGGCTCCTCTCTCGCGCTCTTTGCCATCGCGTGGGCCGGCTTCACCGGCGATGAGGTGTTCACGGGCTTCGAGCCCTCCCCCGAGGCGCGCCGCCTGCTCGTGCCCTTCGCCGCCTCTGGCGACCCACCCTGCGTGCTCACCATGGTCCAGGTGTGCCCTGCCGCCCTTGCTGTTTTTTGCATCGCTGAATCAAAGTCACCACCACGGGCTGTGCGGCATCTTTGTTTTTCACTGTCGTGGTCGTTCGGCTCATAATACTAATTATTCTATCCTTCCTGCCTTTTCGATGCCTTTACTGGCCTTTTTCTCTTTGAACTTAGAGAAGTTTGATACAAATTAGTTAACTTTGACATTGCCCTGTAATGTAGGTTTGTCTCAAGCAGATCTCTTTTTGAATAGTTTATGGATCTTGAAGCTAATACTTCTTGATACAGATCTAGTTCTTGTCAAGTGATATCCTTTTTATTTCATTTACATACTACAGATTGATGGTGATTGGTGATTAGGTTAGAAACTGTCAAGTATGCTCCCTTCAGTTAGTCAATTATTTATTTGTGCGGAAATAGATACACATTTCATGGGTGTGCTGGACTTTTAGTGGAAATGATGGCTACTTTTGATTGTACAAATCTACCGCAATAGGTGCAGATGTGTATCTGTTTCCCACTAATGGTTTCCCAAATGCTATGATAGGTAGATGTAACAGAAAAACCTGCGTGGACAGAGGCTCAGAGGCTAAACACCAAGCTCACAGTGCGCATTGCTGAAGGAAGAGGCTCATGTTACAAACTACATGGGAAAAATTGTTGTAAGTACCCAACCTGTGCTGACTCTCCTGTGTGATGTTCATTTTCAGCAGCATATGCACTTGTGAACATGTGAATTTGGTCATGAATGGAATATATTGTTGGGCATATATATGTTATTCTGGATTGTTTGTGCGGCTGTGGGCCTTGATTGATGTCCATTCTCATTTGTATGTACAGGGAGGAAACTGTGAGGCTAAACGCAGTAAGTTTTTTGTGAGAGACTGCAGCAACCACTGAATTCAGTAGGGTGAGTGAAGCTTTCTTTCATCAATTACCTTTTGCCATAAGGACTACTCTGAATTTTGGTGGCTATATGATGCAATTTCCTGTTCTATTTTCTGCAGTGTGACTAAATGAACTTCTCATGCCCGTCAGCGTCTAGATAGGGTGGTGCCTTGCATATAACACTAAGTAGTAGTAGCAGCAGCAGCAGCAGTAGTGGTATCTATAAGTTTCTTATACTACTATTCATTCTATATGTGACTTGAGGTACATCATTGTCAGATGTCATATTCCTATAATTTTGTACAGTTAATTGCAATCCATATTTGTGAATTCATTGTAGTATTCATGTTGAACATGCAGATGACCAGATATTATATCTGTATATATGATATATGTGCTGATAGATTCATAGATCAGACTAATTCTATTTTTGACATAAGTGTTACTCTATTCATGATGGACTACTGATTTGTATAATATTGTATGGACAATATATATTTTAATATACTATTGTTACTGTTTCAAAATATTTTTTGTGTGTTTAACTTTTTTTCTGTGAGGATGGCTACACAGGCAAAAGGATTTTTTCTGTGAGTTCATCTAGACCGATAGAAAAATACATGTTTTTTTGTGTGTTTATTTTTTTTCGTGTGGATATCCACACAGAAAAAATGTTTTTAATCTGGGCGACCGCAATTTTTCTGTGCGTGTAAAACCTATAGAAAAACTATTTCTGACGGCAAACACATCAATTTTTCTGTCATTCTATTTCTGTGTGCATTGTTAGAAAAATATTTTTTAACGATATTCGTATTTTTTGTGTTTTCGCACGCACAGAAGAATTCGAGTTTCCAGTAGTTAGCCTGTTCGCTTGTTAGTTTCAGCCAGCCCAAACCAGCCAGCCAACAGTGTTTTCCTCTCATAAAAAACTAGCACCAGCTAGCCCAAACCAGCACCAACCAGCGAACAGGCCCAGTGTCTGTTTTTCACGTGAAGTTAAAACTGGGGATAATACCTTTAACAAAAGAGCTCAATAAATGAGCTGCCCTTGACCTTGTCTCCGGGTGACATTCAGTTACTGGAACTCTGAAAGTGACATT